AGATAAAATTACAACTCGCATGAAGACGTCGAATCCTCAGGTTACCGGAAACGGGCCAAAAACAGGAACAATGACAGACTCACACATCGGCGATTAAAATGAAAACTGATTTCGCAACTATCAAATTCTCGAAACAGTTCTTGATATAAATATGGTAAACACTCGATTCTTATACCTCATGAAAGGCACAGGTTGGTATAAGGTTTACATGAAGAATTCGGAAAGAGACAACGGTAGTTCGGGGCTCGAAAACAACAATGAACCCAGATCAACTACAAGATCGAACAACAGACAACTGGCCGCACAATTGCCAAACCTTGGCTGAAATTTTTAAAATGAAAACGATATCAACACGGTTCTCGCTCGGGATGGAACATAGGAGTTTGAACTTCAATTCATCAGAATAGTTCAAAAACGTTTAACCGAAATTTCGAAAGTCAAAACAACGATGAACAACCACCGCTACAAGGGTCACGAATAAGGTTTCACTCTTCACACTCGACGAATCTCAATCAACACGAGGTAAGAGTGTCGGACAACAAAACAAGGCTCCGACTAATATGATTTAATCACAGCGACTCAAGGCTCGGCTCTGAAATCGAGAGTTCGGATATCCACGAAAAGTTCAAGAAAATAACCAACGTACAGAACGAGCATATGAACGATTTCAGAGCCGATTACCCGACTACCTAACGAATTCTCAAATCCAACCAATGAAAAAAAAACGAACGATTTAAAAGAGAGAAAAATTCAATCATCAAATTGTTCTCCACGGATCCATAAGCAAAAAGGAATCGGTTCATTCACACAAACCTGACACCTAGACCCCACTCCCAGTCATCACTGACTGGGTCCTAACACGAGTCTAATGGTCTTATTAACAAGGGTTACAAAATCCCGAATAATCCACACATGGGATTCCTTCGGTCGTCTGTTCTCTGCACTTAAGCCTTCTCCTTTCGAGATGGCATTGCGAAAGGTCCTCACTTGAAGACACTGAATTTTTCATCGAGAGGACTGCTACAACAGAACTCAGCTCGATAGCATTATATCGATTTTCTAATAAACAAAAACTCAAGTCAGATCTTAACTCTATACCGCTAGAGTTCAAATCTGAATATATGGAGGTCTACAACTCTTCTAGAGTTCACCATTAAATACTAGAGTTCAATATTGCAGAAGTAGGAGGATAAATTCCTAAGCCCCAATTAACAACATATTCATATCATAAGCAATCTTATTACTACTTAGGCAAGAATACAAATTTCACATTTCACGTCATAAGTGTTTTCATTGATACTTATTTAAACAAATACCTTAAGCAGTGCGGCATGACGAAGACGAGTGGTCTTAACATAAGGTCTAAGCACATAAACATGTTTTCACATACATGCCAGTCTACAGAAACGTAGACTGGCTCTGATACCAAACTGTAACACCCCAAACGATTTTAAAAGAAACTCCATGTCTTTTTTAAAAATCGCAGTAAAATTTTTCGAAATTCATTTTTCGATTCATAAATAATTCGGCATTACTCATTCATTTCAAAACATAGTTCAAGTCGTGTCTGAACTAACGGGGATTCATTACCTGATTTTTCAAAGGTTTTCATTAACCGTATTCTCAACCATAAATAAATAAACATAAACGTCATAACATTCTTATCCACATGTCCTATTCGTGAAGAAGAAAGACGGATCCATGCGCATGTGCATTGATTATCGCGAGCTTAACCATCTGACGGTTAAGAACAAGTACCCTCTTCCTCGCATTGAGGATCTCTTCGACCAGCTGAGGGGAGCCAATGTCTTCTTGAAGATTGATTTGAGGTCTGGCTATCATCAGCTGAAGATCCGGGAGTCGGATATCTCTAAGACCGCGTTCCGTACCCGATATGGCCACTACGAGTTTGTGGTAATGCCATTCGGACTCAGCAATGCCCCGACCGTGTTCATGGACCTTATGAATTAGGTCTTCCATCCTTATCTGGACCAGTTCTTTATCGTTTTCATCGACGACATTCTGGTCTATTCTCGGGACATCGATCAGCACAAGGAGCATCTGAGGATTGTGCTGGAGACTCTTCGCAGAAGTTGTATGCGAAGTTTTCGAAGTGTGAGTTCTGGCTAGATCGTGTGGCCTTCCTTGGCCACATTGTGACAGCTAGAGGCATTGAGGTGGATCCCAGCAAGATCGAGGCTGTGAGCAAGTGGAAAACACCAAGAAGTGCCAGCGACGTTCGTAGTTTCCTGGGGTTAGCAGGATACTACAGGAGGTTCATCGAGGGCTTCTCGAAGATAGCCCGACCCTAACCAACCTTACGAAGAAGGCCGTGAGGTTTCAATGGAGTTTCGAGTGCGAGGATAGTTTCCAGGAGTTGAAGATGAGACTTACCACCGCACCCGTCTTGTCGATTCCCGATCCTACTTTGGAGTTCACCATCTATAGTGACGCTTCAAAGATAGGTTTGGGATGTGTCCTAATGCAGCAAGGGAAGGTTTTAGCTTATGCTTCGAGGCAACTGAAGCCTCACGGGCAGAACTACCCCACTCATGATCTTGAGTTGGCTGCTGTTGTCCACGCCTTGAAGATTTGGCGGCACTACCTCTACGGAGGCAAGTGTGAGATTTTCACCGATCATAAGAGCTTAAAGTATATCTTTACTCAGAAGGAGCTCAATATGCGCCAAAGGAGATGGCTTGAGTCGCCGACGCGTTGTGTCGGAAGAGTAATGGCCAGTTGTCTTGTCTATTCACCGGGCAGGATGTCCATGTTCGGGAGTTCGAGCGACTGCAGCTAGAGGCAGTGGAGTCGACTTCGACAGCCGGAGGTGTGTTGACCGCCTTGGTTGTGGGGCCGACTCTTCGTGAGAGAATTATCGCCGAGCAGCCGAATGATCGTTTTCTATGCCGTATGAAGGAGTTGATGGAAGCTGGTTGAGTTGGAGGGTTCGCAGTCGCATCTGATGGGGCATTAGTCTTCGAGGGTAGACTATGTGTTCTGAAGGTGTGGGAACTGCGAAAGGAGATATTGAGAGAAGTCCATAGTGTCCCGTACACCATCCATCCTGGTAGCTCGAAGATGTATCAGGACCTCAGGAAGTCGTTTTGGTGGCGAGGTATGAAGAGGCAGGTGACCCGTTTCGTGAGTGGTTGTCTAGTGTGTCAGCAAGTGAAGGCTGAGCATCAGAAACCCAGAGGCATGTTGCAGCTGCTTGAGATTCCCATGTGGAAATAGGAGCGACTCACGATGGATTTCTTGGTGGGTTTGCCGAGATCAAGATCCGATCATGATTCCATTTGGGTGATTGTGGATCGACTCACGAAGTCCACCCAATTTCTGCCCGTCCGGACAACTGTGAATGCTAGTGCGTATGCCGAGTTGTTCATTGATGAGATCGTCAAACTTCATGGAGTGCCCGTGGAGATTGTGTTTGATCGTGACTCGGAGTTCACGAGCCAGTTCTGGAAGACTCTGCACCGAGCCATGGGGACGAGGTTGGAGTTCAGTACCGCCTTTCACCCTCAGACAGATGGTCAGTCAGAGCGGACGATCCAGTATTTGGAGGATATATTGAGGGCTGTGGTCTTGGACCGGAGCCTGACTTGGGAGACTGCGCTCCCGTTGGTCGAATTGTCTTATAACAACAGCTACCACTCCTCGATCAAGATGGCCCCTTCCGAAGCTTTGTATGGACGGAAGGTCCGAACACCTTTGTATTGGGATGAGGTCGGAGAGAGGAAGTTCATGGGTCCGGAGTTCATTCGTAGGACTTCGGAAGCTGTTGAGGCGATCCGGAAGCATATCCGGTCTGCCCAGGAGAGGCAGAAGGTGTATGCCGATCGGGAGAGGCGAGAGCACGAGTANTACTGGACCAGAAGGTCCATCATCTGAGGAACCGGGTAGTGAGTTTGGTGAAGGTGCTGTGGAGCCGACACGACGAGTCCGAGGCGACTTGGGAGAAGGAGGACGAGATTAGGAGGAGATATCCGGACTTCGCTTTTTGATCTCCTTTGTACTCTTTCATGTTCTAGTTATCTTTGTCTTGTTTCAAATTCCGAGGACGGAATCCTTTGTTAGGTGGGTAGACTGTAGTGCCCCGTTTATTTGTGGATTATTTGAGAATATTAATATTAATTTTATTATTATTATTATTGTTATTATTATTTTGTGATAATATTTATATTTATTTTTCTTGAATGCCATAATATTATTAATTGCCAAAATGTGACTAAATGCTAAATGTCTAATTGTTTAATTGATTTTCGTGATTTATTAAATTATTAAATGTGAATAATGTGTATTAATATATATATATATATGTTAAATATATATATATATATATATGTAGGGTTGGGTTCCCGCGAGAATGAGCCTTACCGAAAGAAATAAGAATGAATTGCACCCGCAGGATCACAACAATCGTACGGCACAAAAAAACGCGCCCAGATTTACTCATGCCACTAATTGGAGGGTATAATGGTAACTAAACATTAAATTTTGATAGTAATAAAAAGGTCCCTTACCTCATTCCCGCAGCTGAGATCCAGAAACCCTCACCTCCCTCACTTCAATTTCACACATCAGATTACGTGAGAATCGAGCTCGATATAATAGAATTTTTCGATCAATCTTCGCGAAAATCGAGTTCGGATTTTCGGATTCTTGTGTTTTGCGATCAATTCATTGGATTTCTGCGACCAATATCCATGAAATTGAGATCAATTTTTACCGTGTTTTCTCGAGCCCTGCGATCGGTCTCTGTGAAATCGAGCTCGATGTCTTCCGATATATTTGAGTGTTGCGACCAATTGCCTTGATTTTGATCTCTGATTTTAATATTTATTACCGTCTATGAAGAATTTCAGTTAAGCCAATCTAGATTTTTCTTATTTCTCGGATTTTTTTGAGCTAATATCCTTTCTCCTATACTTTCTTTCTTTTTTTGTCGTTCAATTTTTGTGGGGTTGATACATTATATTGGTTGAGCCGAATCAGCGATGGAACTCAATGAATCACAACCAGGTATTGATATGAATTTGTTACCTATTACGTTCAGTTGTGTAGACAGGTTTTACTCATTATGGGATAAAGTGCAACATCCAATCATATTGCGTGTAATAGTATGTTCACAAATGTGCAAATAGATTGTTTGACTCGATGGTAATGATTATTATTTCATTTTTTTTCATACTTCTCCTGACTCTTCAAGAAAACTAAGCACCGATTACACATCAGCGTATTTCGATCACCCCCGGAGGAACAAAATATTGGATACCGGATTGCGACAATACAATCAAACCTTATCATGGGCAAAGATTCCGGGAGTTACATGAAGCAGTGAGCTTCTACAAAAATTATGCTCGTACTGTTGGATTCAATGTGAGGAACAACACCTTGGTAAAGGCACGTGACAAGACGGTCCTTTGGAAATACGTGGTGTGCTCGCGAGAGGGATATAAGCATCACGCAAAGGTCGGTCCAAAGGTACAGGGTGCAGGACACGTGACGAGACGTAGGGTGTCCAACCGGGTGGGTTGTACTGCCAGGATTGGGTTGAGAGTTGATGGGTTAAATGGCTATATCATTAAGTCTTTTGAGGAGAAACATACCCACCCGATGACGTCTGACATTTACAAACTACAAATGACGATCAACAGAGAAATTAATGCGGAACATCAGTCGTTTATACTAAACTGTATAAAAGCCAATATATGGCCAATCAAGTCGTACCGTCTGTATAAAGAAATGGTTGGAGGGTATTCGAATATCGGGGCCACCAGTGTTGACTTCAAGAATTTTAACGGGATCTCCTTGCATACATATCGGGTGCGGATACACAACTGGTTATCGATAAGTTTTATAAGCGTCAGGAAACGAGCCCTGCCTTTTACTTCAGCTACGAGCTTGACTCGAACGACTGCTTGCAACGACTCTTCTGGGCTGATCGATTTCAAGGAGGAACTATGGTTCTTTTGGTGATGCTGTGTCATTTGATGCGACCTACCGCACTAACAAGTGAGCACACATTTTATGATGATCTTTAACAATTGCATATTGCTCACATTTGCTCTTGTATGTGCTGATCTGAAGCGATTAAACTATAGGTACAACATGGTCTTTGCTCCTTTCACTGGAATAGATAACCACAACCAGTGCGTGACGTTTGCAGCCGCGTTGGTATCAAAAGAAGATGTCGACTCTTATGAATGGGTGTTCAAGAATTTTAAGGATGCCATGATTCACGAGCCTGTATATATCGTCACTGACCAAGATCCATCAATCGGAATTGCATTTCCTAAAGTATTCAAATACTTGCAAACACCTATTCTGTATGTGGCACATAATGACTAAATTGTGTGACAAAGTCGGTCATTCGTTAAATAGTGATGTTGTGTTTAAACGAAGACTTAATGGAATTGTTTGGGATCGGAATATAGAACCTGACGAATTTGAATCTAAATGGGCAGCCATAATGAAAGAATACATGTTGGATACGCACAATTGGTTTGTTGACCTTTCTGCAAAAAGAGAATATTGGATCCCAGCATTTTTCAGGGATGTCCGTATGAGCGGGTTGATGAGGACTACATCTAGATCGGAAAGCGAGAACCACTGGTTTGGTTATTTCACAAGCAGTCATTCTAGTTTAGTCGAGTTCCTACTTCATTTTGAAAGCGCGATGGACGCCCAACGAAATGCCTCGGTTAAGCTACAAACTGAAGGTGAGTCCCAAATGGCTGAGATGAAGACTCCATTGCCGATCGAGAAGCACGCACGATCTATTTACACGACATCATCTTTCTACCGTGTCCAAGGTGAGATATGCGCAGCATGTTTCAATTGTCGTGTGATGAACTTATCCGAGAGTGGTGGACTGGTGAACTTCACGATCAAAGACACCGATGGTAAGATGTTCACGGTTTTTCATGATGTGGGTCTAACTACGTCTACATGTCCGTGCAAGCACTTTGAATTGTACGGATGGTTGTGTAGACACGTGTTTGTCGTGCTAAAAGACTTGAACTTCAAAGTTATTTCGCCGGCGCATATCAGTTCAAGATGGACGAGGCAAGCTATTATTAATCCAATGTTCAACGTTCTGGACAATGTCGCTGAACAATGTGCACAGGTTGATGATACAAAGCACCTGTTGAACAAGATATGGTCGGATATACACATTTGTGTGGGATTAGCGGAGCCTCGTGCCGATCGCCTTATTGAGTTTTCAAAGATAATCGAAGCGTACAAGAGCAAGCTGATGTGCACAAGAAGGTGATACTGCTCCTCAAGAAGTAAGCATTCACCCTCCGTCACGTTCGAAGAACAAAGGCAGCGGCAAAAAGCTAAAGAGCGCGAAGGAAAAGGCGATTGAAGGATCACAAAAGAAACGGCGGACCTGTAAGTCATGCGGTGAAATAGCGGGACACAATACACGCACATGTCCAAAGAAACACCAAGCATGCAACACAAATGACGACGAGGTAAATATACACATATTGTTGAAGTAACTGTCTGTTCAATTATACCAACACGAGTGCACTTATGTGTTATAACACATTATTTTTATTCATTACGTTCGTTGCATGTACGTAAAGATATGCTAGTATACAGAACGACAGCCATGAGATGTTCATATTAACATACGGTGAAATATATATGCAGGCACATGTGAAGTGACAGGAGATTGATGGAGGTGTTTCGGATCAGACACTTCATTATGGATGTTTATCCTTGATTTTATTTTATTTTATTTTATTTTGTTCCAAATGGTATATNTGAACAACAGTGCATGTCAGTTATATTTCCGTAGTTATATATTCATGGGGTGTGTACGGCGTACACAATCACAACGTATATATTGCACTATATTGAAATATACAACAGACAACTGGCCGCACAATTGCCAAACCTTGGCCGAAATTTTTAAAATGAAAACGATATCAACACGGTTCTCGCTCGGGATGGAACATAGGAGTTTGAACTTCAATTCATCAGAATAGTTCAAAAACGTTTAATCGAAATTTCGAAAGTCAAAACAACGATGAACAACCACCGCTACAAGGGTCACGAATAAGGTTTCACTCTTCACACTCGACGAATCTCAATCAACACGAGGTAAGAGTGTCGGACAACAAAACAAGGCTCCGACTAACATGATTTAATCACAGCGACTCAAGGCTTAGCTCTGAAATCGAGAGTTCGGATATCCACGAAAAGTTCAAGAAAATAACCAACGTACAGAACGAGCATATGAACGATTTCAGAGCCGATTACCCGACTACCCAACGAATTCTCAAATCCAGCCAATTAAAAAAAAACGAACGATTTAAAAGAGAGAAAAATTCAATCATCAAATTGTTCTCCACGGATCCATAAGCAAAAAGGAATCGGTTCATTCACACAAACCTGACACCTAGACCCCACTCCCAGTCATCACTGACTGGGTCCTAACACGAGTCTAATGGTCTTATTAACAAGGGTTACAAAATCCCGAATAATCCACACATGGGATTCCTTCGGTCGTCTGTTCTCTGTACTTAAGCCTTCTCCTTTCGAGATGGCATTGCGAAAGGTCCTCACTTGAAGACACTGAATTTTTCATCGAGAGGACTGCTACAACAGAACTCAGCTCGATAGCATTATATCGATTTTCTAATAAACAAAAACTCAGGTCAGATCTTAACTCTATCCCGCTAGAGTTCAAATCTGAATATATGGAGGTCTACAACTCTTCTAGAGTTCACCATTAAATACTAGAGTTCAATATTGCAGAAGTAGGAGGATAAATTCCTAAACCCCAATTAACAACATATTCATATCATAAGCAATCTTATTACTACTTAGGCAAGAATACAAATTTCACATTTCACGTCATAAGTGTTTTCATTGATACTTATTTAAACACATACCTTAAGCAGTGCGGCATGACGAAGACGAGTGGTCTTACATAAGGTCTAAGCACATAAACATGTTTTCACATACATGCCAGTCTACAGAAACGCAGACTGGCTCTGATACCAAACTGTAACACCCCAAACGATTTTAAAAGAAACTCCATGTCTTTTTCAAAAATCGCAGTAAAATTTTTCGAAATTCATTTTTCGGTTCATAAATAATTCGGCATTACTCATCCATTTCAAAACATAGTTCAAGTCGTGTCTGAACTAACGGGGATTCATTACTTGATTTTTCAAAGGTTTTCATTAACCGTATTCTCAACCATAAATAAATAAACATAAACGTCATAACATTCTTATCCACATGTCCTATTCGTGAAGAAGAAAGACGGATCCATGCGCATGTGCATTGATTATCGCGAGCTTAACCATCTGAAGGTTAAGAACAAGTTGTTGGGATATGTGAGGATCTCGTTATGTATAAAACACGAATTCAATAGCAAACGTAAACCTATGCGCAGCAGATCTAAAGGTTTGATGTAGAGAACTTACGGCTTAAAATTTATGTAGATCTGGTTGACCACGAACGGTTGACCGCAATTGATTGACCGCAAATCACGTCTTGGGTTGCGCGAACAAGATCAGATCAAAACTGGATCAAACGGATGCAAACAGATCAAAACGAAACTTGCAGACTGGGAGCTTCCGGCGGTCCGTGAGGGTGCGTCCGGCGTCGTATTCCGGCGATCTCGGCGGCGATGGAAAGCTCTCGTCGAGACGGTCGTCTGGGTATACTGTACGTCTCAATCGGACTTCCGGTTAGTTCTGTAGGTCAAAATATATTTCGTCTCAGTTTACCTACAGATTTTCTACTGTATTACTCAATACACCCTTCTTCAACTTGTACCAGTGGAGCAACAAGAAGATGATAAAGCTCGAATGAGATCTAGAGAGAGAGGCGTGTTTCACGTGAGAATGAGACTTCTATTCTCTTCTCATGAGCTTAATGATGTATATATAGAGCTACAGTAGGGACCCTAAGGAGATTAGGAAAAGGGCTCCTTAATTAATTAGACTAACTGTGGGCCAAACTCACTCCTCTAGTTGATTAAATAATATTAATGGGCCACCAACATTATATTATTACAGCACATCCTATATATAATAATATTACCCAAAACAGTAGGAATATTAATCCAGCGAACTGAACCTCACCCATGTGAATCAAAGTAATATATATTATATATATCTGCATGTTTAATATCTTACGGGTTAAGAGAACGCAGTAATTAACCGAGGCCTAGTTCATTTACGACGATCAGTATAAAATGAACTTCTCCTCTCTGGGATCCTGTTCAATACATAAATGTACTAGTGCAACTAATCAGTCAAGACAA